TATCTTGTTCCACGTATCCTCAAGGTCATCATACGTAAAATCCCATAAATAGCTACCCCAAGCGAAACTTACAAAAAAAAATATTAGTTATAATATAAATTAACATTAATAATATAAAACTTTCAAAGTAAACAAAAAAATACATGTTCCAGACATCCAAATTATCAACAAAAAAAACCAATATTGTGGCACCCGATCATTTATTTCTTTTCCCAAAAAACCTTCACACAAAATGTATATCAAACATACTCTAACTGCATCAGCGTCGCCAACTTCTAAGAATGGTTGATTTAAAATAAAACTTTTCAGATCACCGATTTTCACCGAACTATTTGTATAGTTCGGAAATACCCGCTCACGCAATAAACATCTTTTTTTACTACTAACTATTTTTTCTGACACTTTTTCCCGATATTTTTTGGATACTCCCCAAAATTCAACCCGGTTATCAAACAAAACTCTTCGGGCTCATATACCATTTTTGTATCACCTATTCTAAAATATAACCGTTTTATTCCATCTGGAGATAAAATAGCGTCCGACCGTATCTGATGAAGAAACATCTTGTGGAACATCAATCCGTCCCCTTGTAAACGAGGGACGTCCAACAAGTAACCAAATACCGTATCTCTAAATATATCACGTCTTACACCATGTAACACATCAAATACTTCCCATATGTTACACCCCAATCCTTTTAAGTTGACAATAGCTTTAACATTGAAATTATTATAATCATGCTGCACAAAAAACAATAACATATTAGAAAACTAAACAACTATTTCATTTTAAAATATTTGATTATTAAATGCAATAATAATCCGACATTCAATTTACAAACATAAACAATAATAACAATGGAAATACAAACATTTAATCAATAATTTATATATTTATGTTGAAAAACAATAATATACTATAACAATTTTTCAACTTAAACGACAACTATATAAACAATTTTCCAAGTTATATAAAATAACTTGTAACATTTTCTATTATATACGACAAGTATACAAACGATTTTTAACTTTCAAATTATATAAAATAACATTTTCTAACCATACTATAAAAATTTTTCTACTTAAACAACAAATATATACAAATTTTCAAATTATATGACAAATATACAAACGACTATTGTACACATATTGTAACATTTTCTAACCATAATATATAAATTTTTCTACTTCAACAACAAATATATACAAATTTTCAACTTATACGACAAATATACAAACGACTATTGTACACATATTCTAAACATTATTTTAACCATTTTTCAATTTATAAAAACAATTATACGATAAGTATATACAATTTTTCAAGTTATACAACAACTATACAAACGACAAATAATATATTCTAACAATTTATTTAACTAAGAACTTAAAAAAATTAACATATTCTAACCATTTTACTAAATGTACAACTAGCCAATGCACACTCTACGCAGTCTATACTTGTACATTCATACGTGGATACTTGTTCTTGATGGTTAGGTTACCTTGTTGAGCGCCCGATAATCAATGCCCTAGGCTCCCTACCGCGCATGACTTCGAGAGTCATGATGATATTACTGAGGAACGTGAGCCTATGTTCAAACCAAACAAACCCACCTCCTATTTGTATTTGAGTCAGGCTGGAAAGAATGCCCGTTAAACTTCAACTTTACTAATAAAATATATTAAAACTATCAAATACAACAAAATTACCCTATCACAAACAATATAATTTCATTTTTTTTACACTAACTAATACAATAAATAATAAAATAATAAAGACATATACTAAATAAATGTTAATTAAAAGATAAAAAGAGTTAAAATCTAACCATATTTTCAGTATTGTTGAAATAATCGTCCATTTCCTTCAAGAAATCGTCACAGGGAATCCTCGAGAGAGAGTTTTTTGGGATTGAAGAGTGAAAAATGAAGAAAAAAAAACAGTTTTATACAATTCCATCTACGAAATCGCAGATGGAAAGCCAAAATCGCAGATGGGTCATTTCCATCTGCGAATTTCGTGGTTATTTTTGCAATTTTTATTTTTTTTGGCTAAATTTGTAAGGTAATTAGTGTATTTGGCTAATTTTGTAATTTAAATATAAGAAAATGCAAAAAACAGAAAAAAAAAACAAAATAAAACAAATTAGAATGATATTATAGTCTGTTTGACAACATCAAAATATAATAATAATAATAATGAAAAAACTTATGCAAGTTGAAAAGATTTTGCATTTTATCCATATATTGTTCTGCAAATTACATTGGATCAATTTTGAAATTTACTCTAATATTTTTTACTTACTTCCCAAGTATTTACAATTTAATAGAAACATATTTCTATTTCTTATTTTGTAAGCTTTTTTAATTATAAAATCCATGCATCGTTCTTAATTGTGTGCCTTTAATCGGCCAAAATGATACTCAAATGAACGGAAAACAAAAACAAAAGCCCAAGATAACCCGGGCTTTTGGCCCATTGGCTGCCCAGGCAAAAGCCCGGGGGCCTTATCAAGCCTGATTTCCAGATAAATAGCTCTTGGCATTTGTTGACCGGCCTTTGACTAGGCCGGGTTCTTTTGCCTCTGGGTTGGGCCCCCATTTATGTAGCTCTAATTTGATCGCAGCTTGCAATGAATAGTTTCAAAATCTTCAAACAGGCGTATCGAACCAAAATGCTTCTCTATGGATCGATCAAGGCAATCCCTTAAAAATGTATGGAGTTATGATAAACTAATAAATCAATATAATCAAATGGAGAATAGGCCATTAGATGTATCAGCAATCCTAATCCTAAGTTTAATAATATTTTAGTTATGTTATAACTTTAAGAGGCCTAAAGTTTTCATACAAAATTCAACTAAACTGAAACACGACACTCAAGCTCATAAAACATTTTATTAAAAGAAACAGATCATTTTTATAATGTATAGTTTTTATATTCATATCTATACGATAACACATTATTTTTAATAAAAAGAATCAAATCATATCAATTATATGTATACAACCTTTCACACTTCACATCCGTTGATTGAGAATCACCCATCAATTTCGGCCCTGATGATGTTGCCAGCAAAACTTACTATTTTCACCTGCTTTCCTTCTACAAAACGAACCATTCACTGTAACCCCTACACAAGTCAACGAATCCACATCAATTTTTCCATTGACCATTATGCCCTTGTGTCCTTCATAACTCTTTTGCATTTTCATTCTCATTCCTTTGTGTTCCTCACATCGTTTTCTCCCTGCAACAGGCATTCTTGTACATATAGAACCATCATCATCGACGGTGACCCCACAACACACATCTGTCTCTGTATTAGTATCAGTAAATAAACGGGATTTTACTTTTACAGACGCGTTGACTTTCATCCCTTTATGGTCAACGCACCTCTTTCTTCCCTCAACAGGAGGTCGAGTACATATAGATCCGTGACCCAAGGCCACACCACATATTCGGTTATCATCACTGTTGTTGTTTGTATCATAATTGTTGGCTACTAGCGAAGGGCGTGATGGGGTTAATTTGAAGATTCTTGTGAGGATATTTGTGTCATTTGGCTTGGTGTAGAAGTTAGATCCGTTTTCCAAAACGGGTGGGTCGCAATGTTTGATATTAAGACCCACCTTTTTTGGACGAATGAGATGAAGCTTTTTGAAAACCCGGGATATGGGAACCCTTTTAGTGTTGGAAGCGGTTTTAAGCTTTTGATGGATGTCAAAAGGGCGGCGTTCCCCATTCATCCCTCGGTTCCATGCGTAATCGAAGGTTTTTAAAAGCTGGGTTTCTGTTTTCTCAGCATCCTTCTTATTATCCATCTGTAAAATCCAATACTTAAATACAGTATAACTATGTAATGTCATGTCCAATGTAGCATTATCCATCAAATAATAATAAAAGGAAATTTAGAATGAAAAGATGTTATTTACTGGAGCCCATCGAAATGCAAGTGCAAAGCCGTAAGAGAATATGTCAGAGAACAATCCAAGGACTTTCCGGTCAGTTTGATCTCCGTTTGACCAGCCATTCTCCAAATGAGCACCATCACGACCATACTGCTGAAGTCTGGTTCTAACATTATCAGCTTGTCCAAGATAAACAGGAATTATCCTTTTGGAGCTAAGTTGGCTACTAGTTTTTGATTCTGTTTGTGGGAGTGAAACAGCTATCCCAAGCTCATAAACCCCTGGACAAGAAGAACAATTTGGAAGATTGTGAGTCCTGTATCTCTCTGCGCCTTCTTTGCTCAACAAATAATCTTCCCAATCACGAGGCCCGATTAGGATCTGGAAATTAACATACATAAATATGATAAAATTGTTTTGGAAGTATGCCAAAATTGGAATTCAAAGTTCATTCAGGAATTATGGAAATCAAATGTAAAACAATCAAGAACTCAGATCGTTACGCCATTCATCTTCGTATCAAAAATCACACACATATATATGGAGCTGAGAACAACGTTTGCTGATGGATAACTCAATTTAAAAATTGAAATCAAAGTAAAAAAGTTTCCTAATTGGTGCACGCTATCCGATCTTCTTCAAAATCAAATTATAAATATGGAAGTAGACAGAGAGAGAATTATAGAAATCAAATGTAGGAGAATCGATGACGCCAATCACTGTACCATTGTTCATTCATATCCAAAATCAACAAAAAAAAAGTGAGTAGTGGAAGCATTAAACTAAATCGGAGCTGAGAACAATCTGCGATTGTAAATAATTACAATTCGAAATTTAAATTCAAAGTAAAAAACAGTTTCATAATTGTTGCTCGCATTCCAGATCTAAAGAAAACTAATAGAACGAGAAGATTACCTTCCATTGCGAGAAAGCAGAATCATGTTTGGTACGCTTACAGTCCTCTCTCTTCAACAGCGGCACTGTGGAGGCGGCGTCACTGACGGTTCTCCCCATCGCGCTCCGCCCTCGCGGTTGTCGGAACTGCCTGTTAAACGGCGATGAACAGTTCTCTAGGTACTTTTGAAAACTTCATAAATGGTCCCAAAGCTATTGAATGGTTTTCACCTTAACAAATACCTTTAACTTTTTCTATTTTAGGTAACAAACTATGTTTTTTTTTTGGAATGGCAAATACAATATTATACTAAACTACTCCTAAATTATTTCATCTATGTTCACAGTGGAACATGAATCTTCAACCTCAAGGAGGGAGGGCAACACCGGATACCGCTGGGCTAGAAGCCCTTTGGTGGTAACAAACTATGTAAAACGATTTTTATGTTTTTGGCCCTATTAAATAATTTTCTTTAAAATGTTGTTATTATTATTGTACATTCCATCTAATAGTCTATTATTTGTTCTATTACTAGTTGTGAAACTCGTATGTTATGCGGGTTGGGTGAAACAAAAAATTAAATATGAAGGTTCAAACCAAAATTTATTTAAATTTGAAATTTTAGATTTGAAATTTAAAAGACAAAATTGCAAAAATGGTCCCTGTGGTTTGCCAATTTCTTTGGGTAAGGTCCAAAAAAAAGTTTATTAGCAAAAAAGGTCCTTATTTGATGTTTTAGTTGTGGTTTTGGTCCCTATTTCGTTAACTTTAACATTTGGTTGTTAACTTTTTTAAAATGACAATTTTACCCTCAATGACCATTTTTGCGGTTATCTCTTTTCACCAAATTACAAGGACCATTTCTGTAATTCTTCTTTATAAATTTATTGAATTATTATATATTAATTCTTCTTTCTTTTTAATTTTATTGAACTATTATACATTAAT